CGAATCTAGAAGTAACGAATGTGGTTGGAGGCAAGCACCCCCCAGGAACTGAGAGTCAAATTGAGAAAGAGATGGTTTGAAATGATAAACCACGATATGAAGGAATGTGGGGTGGACATGCAAGGCCCAGGCCAGGAATGAGGACTAAGAAAGCAGAAACTCCGATTGAGTGGAGAGAGAAACATTCCTGCGGAGGGAGCTGGTAGGAACGTTGGGTTGCTCGGTCAATGGCCAGGGTCAACGGCGGCGTGATGTATTCCGCAAATATGCCCGACTGTGAGGGCGGGCACAAGCCGGCGTGAGTAGGTTAAACGTTGAGTTTTATAAGGGCACCACGGGGTGACTAGCCCCTCCCCACCCACCCCCCACCCAGCCCCACCCTCCCCACCCAGCCCCTCCCCACCTTTCCTCTCCCCACCCAGCCCCTCCCCACCCAGCCCCTCCCTGCACGACGGACACAATAATCCCCTGTGAGCTGGTGTAACCAGGAGGTTCCTACCAGAGAAACACATTCAGAAAAGGTGAAGTTGAATTGCCTGTTTGTTGCTACGTCTTTATATATTTGCTACGCGTTATATACATGTTGATATATGCCGCGACGTGCAACACACTTACAATTCACACTCCACTTATGAGAGCACCACTCGGCACAGCTAAATAAATTAAAATAAACAATTCCATTATGAATATCTAGAGTATGGTAAATATATAAAAGATAAACTACGCGTTCACCCGTCGTTCATCCGGGTCGCCCGTGCAAATGAGTGCAAACAAATCATCACAGGAAATGGGCACCGATTAACAAAAACAGGGCCAATCTATTTGAGACAAGTTGAAACAAAAGCAGCGCCCATTCTACATCAAAGCAACTGCTCATTCCCACTTTTCCGAGTGCGGGGCCGGTAACTACGGTAAATGTTATAAAGGGGCACTAGATAAAAACACGCATTAATGCAGTAACTTGATTCCTTGCAAAAGGTCTCTATTTGGTGTTTGAACATCTTAACACCTCCAGTTTTATTGTCAGAAAGGGTTCAACCCTATTAGTGATACTGGCAAAAGATCCCATTCATGTCTGAATTGGTCTGTAATAAGGTAAGGCACTGATAAGGAGGTCGACATGCATGAAATAACAAAGATGATCCATTGTGTTAGGGGTTTTTTTCCCCGCACTCAATATTTAACACATTCCTGCGGAGGGAGCTGGTAGTAACTTTGGGTTGCTCGGTCAATGGCCAGGGTCAACGGCGGCGTGGTGTATTCCGCAAATATGCCCGACTGTGAGGGCGGGCACAAGCCGGCGTGAGTAGGTTAAACGTTGAGTTTTATAAGGGCACCACGGGGAGACCAGCCCCTCCCCATCCAGCCCCACCCCTCCTACCCCCCACCCTCCCAACCCAGCCCCTCCCCACCCTCCCCAACCAGCTCCTCCCCACCCTCTCCACCCAGCTCTCCACCCTCCCCTCTCCACCCAGCCCCACCCCTCCCAACCCAGCCCCACCCTCCCCCTCCCCACCCAGCCCCTCCCCACCCTCCCCTCTCCACCCAGCCCGACCCCTCCCATTTTTGGATGCACGACGGACGGACGGACACAATAATCCCCTGTGGGCTGGTGGAACCAGGCGATTCCTACCAATAAAAGAGCCTCAAATTAATCGTGAACAACGTCATAAAGCAGCCCGCTCACGGCTGCAGAGAATTAGGTTCGACACTTGTCCATCAGCTTCATCGTAACTCGGGCCACGATGAATTCACATGCCGCCAAATAGTTTCTTGCACGAGATGCGATACACGCACACCACACACCACACGCACACGAGGTTTGGCCATGAATTGCCAGGTCTGGGCTGTGTACTCAGTAGGTCGACTCAGCGTTAAATATTGGGAGAGAGAAAATATTGGGCGAGGCAAAGGCGGGTGCTGTTGGTTTTGTGACTCGGTGAATTCGGACGGCGATTCCATTCAAGACGATATTATTTTTTTCCCCCACATTGTCGTGAAGACAGCGCCCTCTCGTGTCCACGTTGACGCGAAATCGTCTACTGACTCGGCACAAGCCCTCCCCGTGAGCCACGTGCAGATAACAACGTGCCCCCCCCCCGCGCGCCCCACTCTGAATCTCTGGCAACGCCCCCTGTGAAAACAGCCGCTGCTCCGTGCAGTTCAGTGCCTTGTGAAAGACCCGAACGCACAAGATCCTTGGGGTTTGGTCTTCCACGAGGCGTTCTCACGGGTCCACCCTAAACCTCGTCCGGTGACAATGCGGGTGACACCTGATGCACAAAGGGGCCGTCCATAAATGACGTCACGAGATTTTGGACGATTTTTGACCTCCCCCCTTTCGTCACACGGCGTCACAAAAAGTCAGACCCCCCCCCCCTCAAATATGACGTCACAAAGCTCTGCCCCCCCCCCAAATAAAACATGCTTCAAATCGCTTTAAACTATTGTCATTGTAGTGCGTATTTAATGTACTCTGATGTTGTATGAGAAAACATTTATTAAAAAGTATTTAATTAAGTAGAACGTGTTGTCTATCTGTATTTAGAGTTGCGCATTTTTACGTGACGTCACATTTCTCAAACCCCCCTCCCCTCGTCACACATCGTCACAAATGTCTGACCCCGCCCCCACCCCCCCTAGGTGCGTGACGTCATTTATGGACGGCCCCAAATGGAAATGTAATTTTAAAAAAACCTCTCCAGTCGTGTGCGGCTGTGGTCATCCGGAACTCGACCGCACAACGCGTGACGAGGCAATGCTCCGATCCACAAATACTGCTTCCGATTCGCTTAGGCTGCCTTTGACCACGTGAATGTGAAATTGCAGTTGTCGCTCTGCACGTCCATCAGCCGTACGGAAGAAGAAGAATTCGACTTGCGCCTTCTTCGAATCAGAATATCGATTTGTACCGGAGGAATCCGATGAGCGGTGAAGCTCTTTTCACAGACGTACAGGAGGGGTGGGGTCAGTATACCGTCCGCTTTGCCTCGTTAGATTTGTGCATTTGCATGAATAAAAAAAACTAATCGATATCCCCCCCACCCACCCCTCCTCAATTCACGATTCGTTTAATCAATAAACCTTAAGACGTGATTACAGCTTAAATCGTCCGTGGACCAGAAGCAACGGACAGATGCTCTTGTTTTCTTCACCGACTGCGGCGCGTATCCGCGAGCTATGGTCCACTCCCCCCCCGTGCTATTGTCTGCAGCTTCCGGGAACGAGTCGCTGTTGGCAAATGCCACTCAGACAGAAGCTGTTCGATAACGAATCAGACACAAGCTGTACAACATTTATTTCTTTTTTTGGGGAGTGTTATATCATGCAAATGTGCGTCGTTTAATCCGCTACCACCCGACACAGTCAATTATTAAGGTTTTCTTACGTAAGCAAAACGTACCGGTTGCTGCTTCAGCACACCGGCGTGTTTGGGCGAGTAACCCCACAACATTTATATTCGTTTTCGCAAGGTGATTGATTTACAAACCAGATTCGTCGGGCCATTAGGCCAGAACTGTGAAGAAAGTCTTCCCGTGTCGGTCTTTAAATAGAGGAGCAAAGACGGTGTCACAACTGCGAGACAAACATGTGCGAAGGCCGGACACACGCAGTGGTCCACTGCCACCACCCGTAGACTTCACGTTGCACTGGAAGTTGCTTTTGTGGCCAGGACTTTACGTGAAGGAATGACACAAATGCAACAGTTTTCTCATTGAAAATAGGTGAATTTCAAAATATCACTGTGCTGGTCACAAAAGCAAAGTTTGTTAGGAATAATAGCGATTTTCTGTACTTTTGACGCATAAGCAATTAGAAAATAACACTACCCAGGAACAAAAAATATATTTTGTTACACAGTGATTTGATCGCATACCGTGTCAACCCACACGGTTTACCGCCATATTATTATTGTACAGGGACATTGAGATTTCAGGTCCATATGGCGGTACAGCCGTTTCAATGCGGGCAAAACAATTGTTTTGGGGTCTATTTTGTGTGTTTCTGCCGTGCGGTGATGGGGGGCATTGTAGGAGGAACGTTGAGATTTAATTTAAAGGGCGCACGGGGTGACCAGTAAAGTGTGAATTGTATGAAGAAACAATAGGATTGAGCCTTTCTGGAAATGCAACGGGGGGGGGGGGGGGTTGGAGGGGGGAGAGTTGGCGGGGGGGGTTGGAGGGGAGTTGGTGGGTGGGGGGTTGGTGGAGGGGGGAGTTGGTGGGCGGGGAGAGTTTGCGGGGGGCGGGGTTAGTGGGGGGTGGAGAGGGGGGATTGGTGGGGGGGGGAGAGGGGGGTGGGTGGGGGGAGTTGGAGGGGGGTGGAGAGGGGGGTTTGGTGGGGGGGTTGACGGGGGGGGATGGAGGGGGGTGGAGAGGGGGGGTTGGTGGGGGGTGGGTGGGGGGAGTTGGAGGGGGGTGGAGAGGGGGGTTTGGTGGGGGGGGGGTTGGCGGGGGGGGGGGGTCGGAGGGGGGTGGAGAGGGGGGGTTGGCGGGGGGGTTGGAGGGGGGTGGATAGGGGGGGTTGGTGGGGGGGTTGATGGGGGGTGGGGGGAGTTGGAGGAGGGTGGAGAGGGGGGTTTGGTGGGGGGGGTGGAGGGGGGAGTTGTTGTGGGGGGGTTGGAGGGGGGTGGAGAGGGGGGGTTGGTGGGGGGGGTGGAGGGGGGGTTGGTGGGGGGGGTGGATGGGGGGGGGGTTGGAGGGGGGTGGAGAGGGGGGGTTGGTGGGGGGGGTGGAGGGGGGGTTGGTGGGGGGTGGAGAGGGGGGGTTGGAGGGGGGTGGAGAGGGGGGGTTGGTGGGGGGGGTGGAGGGGGGGTTGGTGGGGGGGTGGATGGGGGGGTTGGTGGGGGGGTGGATGGGGGGGTTGGAGGGGGGTGGAGAGGGGGGGTTGGTGGGGGGGGTGGAGGGGGGGGTTTGGTGGGGGGGGTTTGGTGGAGGCGTGTGTAGCGCCCTCTAGTGGCTGCGAGGGTCACGTGACGAGTGGTGGGGGGGTCGCGAGCGACGGAGTTGGAGGAGACGGCATCAGGGAGGCCGACCGAGGACGTGGGGTTTCTCGTTCTGTTTGTTTCGCTCAAACATCTCGCACCGACGTAGAAAACAAGGGTTCTAAAGGCGGCGCTTCCATCTCCTTCACGGCAGGTGGGTCACAACCTACAGGCCGCCGTGATTGGGGTTTAGTGGTGGTGGTGACATCCGCCGTACGTCGCGACGCTTTGCCTGAAAGTTTCGTTGCGAGTGTTGTGGTGGTGGTGATGGTGGTGGTGGTGCTGTTGTTGTTGTGGCGTTGTTCTCTTGCGGTGTGGGTGGTTGGGGGAGGGGGAGGTTATCGCGCTACGCCGCGCACCACCGCCGATCCGCTCACGGCACAACGGCACCGGTGACGATCGTCCGGACCCGGTCCTGGGCCTCCTCCTACTCACCGATGGTGGTGGTGGTGGTGATGGTGGTGATGGTGGGGTTGGTGGTGGTGGGGGTGGTGGTGATGGTGGGGGTGGTGGTGATGGTGATGGTGGTGATGGGGCTGGTGGTGATGGTGATGGGGCTGGTGGTGGTGATGGGGCTGGTGGTGGTGATGGGGCTGGTGGTGGTGGTGGTGATGGGGCTGGTGGTGGTGGTGATGGGGCTGGTGGTGGTGGTGGTGGTGCTGGTTGGTGATGGGGCTGGTGGTGATGGTGATGGGGCTGGTGGTGGTGGTGATGGGGCTGGTGGTGGTGGTGATGGTGGTGATGGGGCTGGTGGTGGTGGTGATGGGGCTGGTGGTGGTGGTGGTGATGGGCTGGTGGTGGTGGTGATGGGGCTGGTTGGTGGTGGTGGTGCTGGTTGGTGGTGGTGGTGGTGGTGCTGGTGGTGATGGGGCTGGTGGTGATGGGGCTGGTGGTGGTGGTGATGGGGCTGGTGGTGGTGGTGATGGGGCTGGTGGTGGTGGTGATGGGGCTGGTGGTGGTGGTGATGGGGCTGGTTGGTGGTGGTGGTGGTGCTGGTTGGTGATGGGGCTGGTGGTGATGGTGATGGGCTGGTGGTGGTGGTGATGGGGCTGGTGGTGGTGGTGGTGATGGGGCTGGTGGTGGTGATGGTGATGTGGTTGGTGGTGGTGGTGGTGCTGGTTGGTGGTGATGGGGCTGGTTGGTGGTGGTGCTGGTTGGTGCTGGTTGGTGGTGGTGGGTGGTTGTTGGTGGTGGTGGTGCTGGTTGGTGCTGGTTGTGGTGGTGGGGAGCGGTGGCTGCGGCTACCATTCCCGCTCAGGGCCAACACCAGTGGGCGATTATCCAAATCGTTCCTGTGCCCTCCCCTAGGTCGACTCGGACTCAAATGAGTACCTGGGTGTTGTGGATGCTGGCCACCCACTCGCCCTTTGTGTACCGTCCTATATAGATATGTGCTACTCGCTAACAGCACTTGCCCTAACAGTCCGTTAAGGTCACAATGGGTGGGGTGGGATCTTTGTTCTTTGTTTTCATTCGGTGGTAAAGTTTACATTCGATAATTTTTTTATCAATCAAGTTGTTTACTTTTGGGGGGGAGAGTGGTGGGGGGGGGGAAAGTCGATCGGGAGGAGATTTTGACGGCAAAAAGTGTCGTGGATTTGCCCTCCAACATCACCGGCGTTGCTGCTGCTGTGACCAGTAACGAATTTCCACGTTCTGTTTACGTAACAAACCTTACTAATTGGCTGTGTCGGGTGGGTGGTGGTGGGGTTTAACGACACGCATTTACACGATCTAACCGAAAGACGAACCCCCCCCCAACCCACCCAGTATTATGGATGATATTGGTCTTGAAAGCCTTTAACTTCGGTGTTTGAATGGTCGAGGGGGGTGGTTGTTGCGCAGCGTGGCCACAAGTTTGAATGAGACGGAGGAGGTGGTGAAGGTTGAGGAAGGGTGGCAGAGATACCTGAAATCGACTTTCAGGTGCCCGTGTATCACGGTCCGGGTAAGTTGCCAAAGTTATTAAAGCCGCCGGGGTCGTCTCTAGTCAACGTGTCGCCGCCGATTGTGGGAACGGGGGCGAGAAAAAACATGTGATTCGCGTACATTCACGGCCTTGGCTACACACAAGGATATATCTACACACACAATCTTGTGTAAGTCGCATACAATCGTATACCAATACCCCCCCACCCCCACCGCTTTATAGCCGTTTAAAGGGATGTTGGGACAAGAGTTGTTAGCGATTCTAGATTTGAAGCTTTCGTGACTGCAAGGATTCATATTCTTAGGTTTTTTCGGTAAAGTCACGTAGGTAAAACATCAAAATTAATGAAAATAAAATAAAAAAATCACGACGTTTTGCCTCCGAAACGTCGTGATTTTTGTTTTATTTTATTTTCATTAATTTTGATGTTTTACCTACGTGACTTTACCGAAAAAACCTAAGAATAGTTGTTAGCGAGTAGCAACTATCTTCTTGGTTCTTTCGGTAAAGTCACGTAGAAGGGAAATAATAAAATAAAAATAATAAAACATAATTAAATAATAAAAATAAAACATAATAAAAGATAATTTTATATAGTTTTATTTGTATTATTTTTATATTTCCCTTCTACGTGACTTTACCGAAAGAACCAAGAAGATGAATCCCTGCAGTCACGAAAGCTTTAAATCGAAAGAGTAGCAACTAATTATGATTTGAAGCTTTCGTGACTGCAGGAATCCATACACTTTGGATCATTCGGTAAAGTCACGTGGGTAGAAAATTAATAGGTGACGACGTTTCAGCAGTTTGTTCTTGCTGTAGTTGTCCCACCTGATGACGATTGCTTGTGTTGCGATCGAAACGTCGTGAACTATTATTTTATCTACCTACGTGACTTTACCGAAAGAACCAAAAAGTATGAGTAGCAACTATTTAAGGCCGCCGCCACTGCCAAACGAAGGCGGTGCTGGGTGGCCAGCACCACGCCCGGTCACATTTGTCAACCCGGTGGGCGATGTTAGTGTATTATGCTGCACGCTGCCACCACACAACTAGTTTTGAGGCCGAGCCTACCTAGAGGGGAGGCGCAGTGCGGGATTATCCGAGTAGCACAGTAGCATATTCTACGGGCCCCGCACTTTCAAGGGCCCGGTTCAGTGATTCTGCACTTGCTCTATCACTACAGTACTATGATGGCTTCAACTTTTATGAACGACTGGGTGTTTAAGTTTAGCGATTTGTCGTATTATCTGGCTGTGTAGCAAATGAAAAAAATACAATTCACCATGCAAGTTAAACATGTTGTTTTAATATATTTGGGTGTGTTTTTAATTTATTTATGGCCCCTTTATAACATTTGCTACAGGCCCCGCACTCGCTTAATCCGCGGCACTTCGCGATGCCCCCAGGGACCGGTTCTGACAGCCGGGTGGGTCCCTGCTGTTGGCCCTGAAGGTGACTTCGAGTGGCCGGGTTCGCTGCGCAACCACTCATCCCACCACTCCTGCCACAACCACCACCACCCTCCACACGTGTTCACTCGTGTGCAAGCGCTCGACTCGGACATTTCATTTATATCGGAAAAGTGGGACTGAGCAGTTGCTTTGATGTAGAATGGGTGCTGCTTTTGTTTCAACTTGTCTTTAAAATAGGTCGGCCCTGTTTTTGTTAATCGGTGCCCATTTCCTGAAATGATTTGTTTGCACTCATTTGCACGGGTGGCCCGGGTGAACGATGGGTGAACACGTAGTATTGTTATCTTTTATATATTTACCATATTCTAGATATTCATAATGGAATTATTTGTAAAAAAGATATAAAGACGTAGCAACAAACAGGCAATTCAACTTCACCTTTTCTGAATGTTTTTCTCTCTCCACTCAATCGGAGTTTCTGCTTGCTTAGTCCTCATTCCTTGCCTGAGCCTTGCATGTCCACCCCACATTCCTTCATATCGTGGTTTATCATTTCAAACCATCTCCTTCAAAACTTCCCTCTCAGTTCCTGGGGGGTGCTTTCCTCCCACCACATTCGTTACACTTGCCATCTGGTATTTTTTTAAATTATTCTTTTCGGAGAGTTTCCGCAAAATTAATTATGCTGTGGATTATACAATAATATACAGCGCTGTATCGATGAATTGATAAGACATTTTTAAAAAATCAGATTAGAGCCCCCATTGAATTGACTGTACGTTATTTTGCAAGGCGAATGTTTTGGGTAAAGCTCAAGAGCAGCGTGCTACGAGTGAACCAAGCGAGGTCATCAAAACGGGGAATGAAGAAAAACGGAGCGCCAATGATACAACAACAACAAAAATGTCACATTTTGTATTTAAAGGTTTCCCACTAAATATTGATTTTCAGGAACAAGAAAGGCCTGCGTTTGATTCCCGACTCTGGTACATTCCTGTCTGGAGTTAGCGCCGCTCTCCCCTCTCCTGCATGGGTTTCTTCTGGGCGTTCTCAGTTTTTATAGCAAAGAAAAACACAATGTCACTGGTATTGGCCATATATCAGAATGATCAACAAATACCTGCAAACTTCTCCAGTTGGGATTACACATTGCAACATTTTCCATGACTACGTTTTGCATGGCTATATTTTTCCCCGCTATAAATGTCCAAACCGTGGGCCGCTTTGTTGAGCTATCATTTGTGGCCAGGTCGCTTCTGAAAAATAAGTGAATGCCCCAGTGGGGTTTGCCTGGAAAGATGGGGATGGTTTCGTTTTATTTGTGTGTGTTTGGGTTATTTGTTTACCTTTCCTGTACTCTTTGGTTTTTTCGGTAAAGTCACGTAGGTAAAAAATAAAATAAAATAAATGAAAAACAACTAAATTAAATCACACGTTTCGGAAGCAACACAAGCATCCGTCATCAGGTGTGACTGCTCCAGCAAAATTACTGTAGTGTCATACCTGATGACAGATGCTTGTGTTGCTTCCGAAACGTCGTGATTTAATTTTGTTGTTTTTACTTTATTTTATACCTACGTGACTTTACCGAAAAAACCAAAGAGTATGAATCCTTGCAGTCACGAAAACTTCAAATCTAGAATACCTTTCTTGTACTTGGCACTACTCTCACGTTTTTGTATTGTTGTGACGTTCTCACCCGCTCCTACTGGATGTCTGTGAACAAGAGCTTTATAGCTCATCAGATTCCTCCAGAATAAATAAACATTTAGATGAGTGTGAGAACTTGGCAGGACTCTCCTGAAAGAGAGCCGTGATATTCAGCGAGACTTCCTTGGGTAAACAAGTTTACAAATAATGATAAAGGAGGTAACTATTTTAAGGGCATGGCTTACATTACAAGGGTCGGTAAGGCAAATGCTCAGAATGCGCCCAATCTTGGCGAATCTCGGAAGCTATGCAGAGGTGAGTCTAGTTAGTATTTGGTTGGGTGAACAACAGGGCTTGCCAGGTATTGCAGGCATGGCGCTGCTAGATGTAGGCCAGGAGATGCCGAGTGAGTGTCACCTCCTCGTATGGTGGGTTTTCTCTGGGGTTCCCTGGCTTCCACATGAAGCCAAATACTCATGCATGGAATTGACCAAACATCCCAGTGCAGAAGAATAGGCTTTACCCTTGCTGGCAACAACGCAGGTGTTAAGGTGTTCAAACACGAAATGGACACCTATATATTGCAAGGCATCCAAGTTTGCATTAACCACACATACTTGTGGCAAAACATGCAAATGCATGTGTAATGACGACTTGAGGCACTTGAGATGGCACTTCATTGAAGACACGTTCACTTGACATCAGGTGGAGATCACAGAGCAGCAGCCCAGAGTCTCCCACGCATCTCTACCTTATATACCAACTCGAGGCCACGCCCCCCTTCTCGATCATTCTCGCTTACTCTGGACGCTCGCTCCACCGGCAGACTCCGCCGTCCTCTTCTGTCGCCTGACTAAGCTCCCTTCTCGAACATTCCCATGGCCACCAGTCCCTTCGAACTCACAACTGACTCCCCTGTCATTACCTCCCGTAGCCACCAGTCCTTTCGCACTCACAACTGATACCCCTGTCATCACCTCCCGTGGCCACTAGTGCATTCGTACTGAAGGCTGACTCCGCTGTCATTACCTCCCGTGGCCACTAGTCTCCTCACACCGCATGCAGGCTTCATTGTCATTACACATTCATTCATTGTCTTTGAAACTGATTGGCCGACGCCAGAGACAGCATTCTCTATGGCTCTTGATAAGATAGTTACATTCTGAAAGACAGGGCGCAACAGTAATTACTTTAAATGAGATCAACCCAGACGTAGAAGCACTTCTTCAATCTACTGATTAATACCCAAATGTGAGGCTTAAAAATAAAGCCGTCCCTCAAGTCGTCGCTACAATCGCTTACATAATAACAACACTCATAATTGCTTTACAAGTCAGGGCACTACGCTTGGTAGGGAACGTCATTGTTTGCGTTCCAACCCATCCTGAAAATCATGCTCGGAGGACACGTTTTAACATTTGTTAAATAATGCTCAGTGGAACTACATGAAACACCACTTCTGACAATGAACACTTGTTTGCTTCTCATGGGTTCTTAAAGCCACTCCTCAGGAATGCAAAAAACAGACAATGTGGATCTGTGCTTGTTGGGAGGAAGATTGTTCTGGCAGGATAAGTGAAACCCGGGCATCGTACTATTCCTGTTCTCAAACACTCCGACTGTTCGCTGGTCACTTACTTAGCCGGCTTATGTAATATAGAATCTATTTTATGGTTTACATTTTCACTTTAAAGTTTTCCATGTTCCTGTCCGTAATTTTTAATTCTCACGTGGTTAAACCTGATGATGGTAACCTTTAGTGATGATAATACCTTTTAATGCAAATAAAATTCCACGTTTTGTTCCCCTGGCACTCGAAGGCTTCTATCCCACAGGCGACCTGGCAACAAACATATGTTCACGCCTCTTGACTTAAATGCCTCTCTTTATGGACCTACACGATGTAACTCGCTCGCCAAAAGTCAGGGACTTGGGAGTCCATCATTGATTTTTAAATCACCACTTGAGACGAAAAAAAGTATTCATCTTTACAATTGCTCAATTGGTACATGTTTGTTAATTTTTTGTTGTAATTTGTATATTTCCTCTTTAAAAAAAATATATGATTTATTAAAGTACCAGTTGTAGCCTGACAGTTTTTGTATAGTACATATGCAAAAATCTGTCAAAACTTGACCCCTCCACCCCTCCCTGTACGCGTGTGTACTTTTTACACCCCTTCCCCCTTCTGCATACGTACGCTTGATGCACCCCCCGAATTCGAAAGAACGGCCAATATTTAGTCCACGCAGAAACGATCAAGGATTAATAATATTGACGTGTTTAAGCCAACAGATAGTCCACCTCCGGACTCTAACTCATTTGAAGGCCAATGTAGACAAATTGTTATCGATGCTTCACCCCCCCCCGCCCCCCGTTTCCTATGCGGACGTACATTGTCAGTAGACCCTCCATACGCAAGCGTACGCATTTGGATTAACTCCCCCCTCCATGCGTACGTACTAAATGGAGACCCCCATATTTGTATTCTTGTAAAGTGCAGTGGGACAACTTTTTCTAAAGGTGCTATTTCAGTGTTTTTTTAATTATAAAATTGCTTTCAAAAACGACCGCATGGCTGCGTTGAATCGAATCCTCAACTGCGTGAGAAATCATTCCGAGCCTTCAGCACACGCATTCACTTAAACGGAAATATTTTTGCAAATATTTTTTTCTCTTCTTGAAATGGGAATGTCAACGAGGAAGTAAATCATACCACAGCGGCCACTGCGTGGGTTTAGCAATGAATGTCAACGACACAGGCACGGCAAAAGAGAAAAAAATATATTTTTGGTAGAATTAAAAAGGAGCAGGTTTGTACAATTTGACTCAAAAACACAAACTCCCGGCTCGCAGGTCCCGTTATCGGCAGCCTTGTACATGACCGAGTGGAAAAAACATCGGTTCAAAGAACCAGGACAAACAAACCGATGAAACCGTGGTGAGAAAGCGTGGACGTGACCGCCCCCCTCTTATTGCCGCAGAATTTCGAACCGCCGTCCGGGGGGATGAAGCTCAACAAGCGGTGCCTGACGTACTACGCCAACTGCGACTCGCCCGTCGACCGCCAGGGCTACCTGCGCAAGAAGGGCGAAGTCCACACGTCCTACCAGCGCCGCTGGTTCGTGCTCAAGGGCAACCTGCTCTTCTACTTCGAGGCGCAAGGCGACCGCGAGCCGCTGGGCGTCGTGGTGCTCGAGGGCTGCATGGTCGAGCTGTGCGATGCCGCCTCCACGGACTACGCCTTCGCGCTGCGCTTCGAGGGCGCCGGCTCGCGCACCTACACGCTGGCGGCGGGCGACCAGGACGAGCTGAAGGCGTGGGTGCGCGCGCTCACCACCGCCAACCACGGCTACATGCGCACGCTGGCGTCCGAGCTGGAGCAGCAGTACCTGCTGCTCGTGGGGCTTGAGGGGGCCGACCCCGCGTTGCTCGAGGATCAGGGGCCGGCAGTGAAGCTGGAGAGAACCAGGAAGGTCAACGGTGAGTGGCGGCAGCGGCGGCAGCAACGGATTTCTGTTGTTGTGACAAGATCGTCGGTTTAGTCCCACCGCTGCCACCGTCAGTGGCTTTTACACGTCAAGTGCCGGTGCCCACAGGATTCTTATTATTCGTGACGGTGATTCCTTACGGGGCACGGGAGCTGTGGGTTAAAAGTGTGCGCATAAAGAGCCTTAAGACATGCACTGTGTGCTCTACCCTGCCACCTGCCTCGCCTAGGATCCTCTACCCAGGATTCTGGCTAAGGGTGGTTGGTGATGGCTTTAGTAGAGCACCGGGCCAGCACCACTGAAATTGTGGGTTCGAAGCCGGGCAAGCGCCTGTTATTAAAGCGAATTCTCTGCCCAGTCACCGATGACTGCACAAAACAACATCTCGTCAACATTTTTTTTTTTACCAGATGGAACCCGATTCCAACTCTGGATCATTACAGATTCTCGTATTGAGCAACAGTCTTTGCAGCGCATACAAATTGCGTGCTTTTAGCGTGGATGAGTGGCCCATTGAAATGACTTTTAAAGTCGTTCTATGACGTCATCTATCTGGGGCTGTTCTGCGACACGTGGTCGTGGTTCACCGCAAGAGGTCCGAATTGTAACGTAGTCGCCTCGGTGCTCGATGTCACAAGAACAATTGTGGCAGAGAACTAAAAAAAGAGGCAACTCGTCTAAAATGCCAAAATGCAATTTTTCACTGTTTCCAGGGATGTTGAGGCAACACTTCAGTTTTGTGTCCAAACTAATAGTGGAGGCTTATTTAAAAATTTGGCAGATTGTCAGCGTTGCGAAAGCCCCTTGTGGTCCGATTGCTTTTCATTTGCGTCACAGGGCCGTTAGTTTCGGCATCCTAAACATGATTATTTTAGTATTTAAGCTCGAGTGTTTATCGTGTTACCCTTGAAACTATCGTATAGCACTCCAGATCAAAGTTGGCCTTCAGAAAACCACTGCCACTTACATTTTTCTAGGCACGGTTTAATTTCCCACTGTCTGGCTTCAGCAAGGTCAGACAGGCTTCGCCGGTGCGAGCGTGGTCTTTCTGATTTTTGGCAGGGCCACTTTCGTTCTATATTTTGTCACAACTGGGGCCAAATTTCCTAGCACAGTGCATCTCGCCGGCAAGAAAAAACGGCCTCTTGAGTCACGTGGTGACGGCACACGTTTTGTTTGTGTTTTAATGCTTTCCAGCGAAGGCATTAATGCATTAAAAATATTAATGCATTAGCTCTGTCCATCTGCCTGTAGCATGGCGGGGTGGGGGGGGTGCGGTGGGGGAAGGGGGTCATGATAACTCTTGTAAAGATGATGGAATAGAAATTGTATTTTTGTTTAAAAAAAAAACCTGCGTTAAATATAGAAGCCTCTTCGGCCAAGGTGATGACATCACAGACCATGTGCGCACGTTGTTACATGCACCATAGTCTTACTCTGTCATATGTCGCACGCCAAGTGTGTTTTGGCACAGGTAAATACCGTTTGGGGAAACGAATAATAATTTCAGATGGGGACCAGGTGACATCTTGTCATCTCGTTGTGCACTTTCAAAAGTGACGTGACTGTCACGAAGTAAATACGTCCGAGAAAAAAACGCATGCCGGAATGTGGCTACAGAATCCATACATCAGCGTGATTTTTCTTCCTTGTTCAACCGCACCAGGGCCACTGAAGGGCAGGTACAGCAGCGTGCCATGGGACGCTGACGCCGCCAACGCGCGACCTCGGGCCTCCACGGAGGCGCCGCCCCCCCCCGCGACGCACACGCCCCGCCGGTCGCATACGGTGAAGGCCCCCTGCAGCAGCAACGACACTTCATCGCGTCCCCTGCAGCTGCCCCCCTCGCCGAGGCTGCTCCCGTCTGCCTCGTGCAACAACCTCAGGAACGGTTTGCTGCCGATCGGCTCCGCTGCGGGCGGCGGCGAGGGCGCCGATTCGTCGGGCCCCGAGGCCCAGCCAAATTTCCTGCAGCTTCACCGGCAGTACGGCGCCGCCGTGTGCCAACTCAGGGAGCAGTGGAAGCACAGCCTCGCCAGCGACGCTCGGGTCGGCGGCCCGCCACCGCCGACTCAGTGATCGCAAAAGCCTCGAAGAATCGTGAGCATCGATTGCGCGCGCGCGCACTAAACTCTCAAGGAGCTCGCCGCAGTGGGGAGTCGCGCAGAGCACTGCTCGGCACCGATAGCCTCCGTCCCTCCATCTTCAGATCTGTGGACTGTGAACGACCACGTGAAGATTGCCCGCCGTCTCTTTTTATTCTTATCTTTTTTGTTAAATGTGGCGGCTGTCCGGGTGAGCTGTAATCATTTGTTTTTTATGTCACTGTAACGGTATCCGAATTTGGCCAGGGACTTCCTTGGATACAAGTTAAGAATAGAATGTGCGCCTGTGTCCCTGCGCTGTTGAAATCCCAGAGCCTTTCTAGTACGAGGGTATTAAGTTTGTGCCCAAATAAACGATGGCACTTTATCCGGGCGTGGGTGCGAACCCCCCCCCCCCCTCCCCCCTCTAGCACAGGGGGTTTAACTGTCGCGTTGCAGTGTGGTCCCTTTGGGTCTGTGGTGCCAGTGCTGTTTTTGGCTGAGAATGAATCACGATCCCCCCCCTCTAGCATTTAAAACTGTTGCTCGCCCTCGGAGACAGCTCTGTGACGTCCGCTTCCATGAGCCCCGTTGTCAGACACGAATAATTGCACTGTTTGACGAGAGACGAGAACACGGGTACTTGGTTCTCACGATGCGATGACGACAACACAATTGATATAACATTTTGGTGGAAACGAGATTGCCCTGAAGGCTCACTGGTTGTTCTACTTGCTATCTACAAGAGAGCCCTAATGAGCACCCAGTAAGAATCGTGTATCGTTTCAATACAATAGGAGTAATTAATAATTTGATATAGATGTACGGGACGATGCATTTATATTATAATGGTGAATGCATATGGTAATAAAAAACAACAACACATTAGTCAATAACATTGTGGCCTTAAAAGGAAAAAAAAATATCTATAATAGGCGGCATGTTGGGCAATAGCTCTTCTTTATAGCACAAGAAGGGGCATTTCCAGAAATGTCACGTGTCTTTTTCCTTTATAAGTCCACAGTGTTATTGACGAATATGAGTTTTGTTGTTGTTATTTGTGCTCGAGTGCCTCTGCCAACGCATTAGCAGCATCGCCAAATAATTTGTACAATAACTCACCGGGAGCAATCCCACCGCCTTGACTTTTAATGCTTTTATTCCCACAAACGAAGCCTTAAAATGCATGTCCCCGAATAATGTGTTACATTGGATATCACCAAAGAAACTAGTCCAGTCTCGCCGTCGTCAGCTGTGTTTCCAACATTGTATTTTTAACTGCCAAGCATATCCTTTCCAGCAGTTCTCTCGAATGTTTTGCACAATATAAGAAAACAGATTTCTTACACAAAACTAGTGCTACGTTTGGCATATTTATCGTTAAACAATAATTTGCAATCATTTTAATGTATTTACAAAATGAATTGCATGTTGGGACACATTTCAATATTTACTCCTCGCACAATTATTTGCAGGAACACAGCTGATGTTAATTCCACAGTGATAGTGGCAGATAAATAAGCGTGACTGGATTTTCCATTTGCTCGGTCACACCATAGTGACCTTATTTCAGTTCATCTTCTCAAGGAAACACCTGAGAATCGACCGATGTGAACCGAGTGTGGCACGTTACAAGCGAGAGGCGAGTTTGTGCTGCGAAACTACCTTTGTAAATGTTAACTTGGCAGGGTCTTCGTTTTCACAACCTTCGTCGTAACAGCACTTTGGATTCACCCATTTTGGTCTTCAATAGGTTTTATCATCGTTTTTCAATCTCTCAGTCCCCATGACAAGACCACCGCATGCCTTTTAATGGTTATGTAATGACAAATTGTGTTTGAAGTGATGATAATGCACTGCACTTGCCTGATGATTGCTAAACAATTAATCCCTGTGCCACCAGGAGCACCGAGTGAAATGAACCGATGTCTTGTTTGCGTGTGCATTTGAATATCACGTGACGCATCCTTGATTTGAATCGGTGCTCTGTACGTTACGTGAGAGATATGCCTAGCAATCGTTCGGCACGCGCAGCGTGTAACCAACTTGCTTGTGAAACGAACTTAAGATTGGCAAATACGGAGTGGAAAACCGTAATGGGTCATGAGGACAGAAGTTTGGGAAAACTGATGTAGATGAACGTTTGGAGTTGGGAGTTGAGGACAATTAATTCAGGTTCTGCTTGAACGTAACAAAGGAGGTATCTGCAGGGATTAATCTTCTTGGTTCTTTCGGTAAAGTCACGTAGAATGGAAACAATAAAAAATTAAACCTAATAAAATAATTCAGACGCTGTCTCCCCGACAGACCTGGTCTTCACCTCATGACGGCTGCTTGCGTTGTGGCCAAAACGTCGTGAGAATTATTTTATTATGTTTTATTTTTTATTATATTTATTGTTTCCATTCTACGTGACTTTACCGAAAGAACCAAGAAGAAAAAGGAGGTATCGCCCGATGTTGCGGGTAGGTACGGATTCGACCACGAGTCTTTTGGGAGAGACGACACAAGGGAGTCGAACTTGCTTCCTCTCAGGTACGAGCTGGGGAGCTGTATTCAGTGCTGTCTAGAATACAGTTGCAAGTGGTGAATGCAGTCCCTGTATCACACGAACGCACAGAGGTGCTCCTAGTTTTTTTTTTCTTCCCATGGGGATTGCCCAGGGTAGGTGATGTGAATAAAGGGCCGAAACTCATTGTCAATCCGCTGCTGAAGAGGGAGGTCTTCCCACGCCATGTTGATCATCAGGGTTGTTTGGTCACACGTCACCGTGCTGGCCAGTGCCATTATAAATGGAGGTATAACACTTGCTGAATTACATTTTCAAAGGCGCGTGCGGTGTACCGTATATGAACTCATTGGAAGTGCAGACGCACGTCTTAGAGTCTATAAGGTGTGTTGGAGAAAGTTGTGGAGGTTCATGTACAATTGAATGGACACTACATTTCTGTTTACATTGTCTTGGGGTATTCAGTGCATACACGCACATGGCAGAGAAACTGGAGAATGAGCTGAAGGTATTCATTTTGTTTGGTATTTTAATGCCTCCATATCGCTGCATTGTTATTGTTTGTTTACTAGACAAACCTTACCAATTGGCTGTGTCGGGTGGTGGCGGGTATAACGGCACATTTATATTTACGCGATCTAACAGAAAAAACTGATGGTTATTGCCAGACGTCTAAAATGCCTCATCCAACCAGTTTTGACAACTCCACGTGTGTGTGTGCGTGCGCGTGTGACATTTCCTTTATTTGCGTTTGTGATGGGGTGATGTAAAAATTGTGTATTGCACTACAACTCTGGCTGTCCGGCTTCGAGATAACTGGATGCTTGCACGTGACGTTGGTACATGGCGTCTGAACCTGCCTCGGTCGGGCCTGACCTTGCGAGTCTCAGAATGTTATCGCGAGAGCCTTGTGCAGGTTTATGACCTCGACAGAGTACTCCCGTGTGCATGAAGCTGCCAGCGTGAACGGCTTTGTGTGCGGTGCCGACCTCCGTAGGTGTTCGCTGACAGCACTTGCCCCAAAAATGGGTTTTGCACACCGAATGAGGTATATTATTGTGTATGTTGCAAAGCACATGCCCAGGGGCTGGCATGTTTAATACTCCTTGTGCCTGCTCGGTTTAATTTGCGTGAAAAATTTCAGAGGAAACTCGTTTCTCAGTTTCATTTACAATGCCGAACATAGGCCCGTAACGATTCATCAATTGAACATGGAATTTCACGCTCTCACAACGGACGCGTTGACTGGTGCGTGTAAAAATAGTTCGTGCAAACTTTAGCAAATTGTATGCAAATGAAGACAGCAGAACATACAAAGTGGATGATGTAAAATAGACAGGAAGGACTCAATTGTAACCCCAGAATTCTTCCAGGGGGGAAGTGATGAATTATTACACTTCTACAAGGATGTGTATTTTTAGAATGAAACTCCCCGCAGGTTATGAATGCGTTAAAAGTGATGTTCCTTTACCAGCAATATCTTTGCAGGTGCTTCGCCTGATGGCCTCAATGGTCAGGGTTGGTTTTTATTATTGGCTGGGGTTTGCAAGCCGGAAATGCAAATAGCGTCTCGCGTTTTCATTACTTTAGATCAAATTATTGCCGTGTTTAATAATGTTATATATTTCTAGTGTAGCGTGCGCGTGTTTGTGTGTTTAATGAAGTACGGTTGTGTGTCATCTTGAATTTCGCACGCTTCTCTTTCTGTTGTTGTGTAACCGCTGTACAACGGCATGTTCAGGGTGCGTGTCCCCCTCTACACCGCTGGCTCGTACGAACACGTAACTCGCAATATACGCGCATGGTCCTTTGTTAATCCGCTGTTGGATGATGACCTCCCCAACGCCTCGCGGGTCACAGGGATAATTTGACCACACTTAAATTAAACTTTTTTAATTTTACCAGGTAAGGCCCCACTAATCGATGTAGCTTTTTTTCCGAAGCGACCTGGCCACATATGATAACTCGACGAAGTGGCCTATCATGTGGACATTTATAAGTCGGGGGGGAAAACTGGAGGACCCGGAGGAAAATCCACGCGACCGCGGGGAAAACGTGCAAACTCCAAATATTCGGGCGTCAGAGTCGGAATCGAACACACGACCTCCTGCATACCAGGCGAGGAAGTTAACATCGTGCCAACGGTGGCACCCACTGACGAGATCGCGCTGTCAAAATACACACACTTCGTTAAATGTTAAACCAGTCGTGGTGTTGGTGTTGAGTATCAACAGTCTAAAAGCAGGGGGTGCCTTGTGCTGTGAAACACAAGTTGTGTTTGTTAATATGGACAGAAGAAATCTGTAATCCCGTTATTCGCCAGACTCGGGGTCCATTATAATTACACTAAAAGCATAATTACAATGACGTGAAATTAATTCATAATGGAATGACACAAGTACGATAGTAATTGATCTTAGATCTGGCCTTTTTAACTGCGTAATATTGCCAAGTTCAGTTGTATGTTAGTGCTGCGAGCGTTGTGTTTGGTAAAAAAAAACATTCGTATTTGTGACTGAAACTTCAAATGAGCAAATTGTCATTGGTGTCATCGGATGCTCACTCGTCACTTTTTCATTTTTAATTAAAAAAAGAGATGACTTGTGTGTGTGCGCTTGTCAACGCTTACATTCTCCCATTACCTTGTTGGCGCGTTTCAGAATTGGAACCGAACATGAGGTTAACTGCGGCTCCATTGACCCACGGGCGTTTGTGGAGCCCTTATGCCCCCCCCCCCCCACACACTTTCATTGCACAATTCACTCAGAACCCGCGTTTGTGGGAGCTAAACCGACAAAAAGGCGCAGTGTTCGCGCGCATTAAATAGCAGGTTACGGGTACCATGTAGTGAGCTAACGTGTGTACAAGCACTGGCCTCGACGGGGCCTGGTTTCATGGCCGTTTCTCATAGCTTCTGCCTCCCGTGTCCACTTTTTTTTAATAGCCGGGGTGCGGCATGGGTGGGTGGGGAGGGGAGATGGATCTCGTGACACCAGCATGTGCCGAGGGCATGCGTTCTTCCCTTCCTCTCAAAACCACTCGCTTCCTGTTGTTTGAATTTTACTGAACGTATCTCCCCCCACCCACCTACCCCCCGCCCCCAATCATAACATTACCGCCACATTGACCGCGCTTTCATATGTCCTAATGGAGATACCGGCTGCCGTTGACACTGCGATGCAGTAGCGCCCGGCAGCCCCCACGATGGGGACTTCTCCCAGCTTGTCTGTGCTGTCGATTCCCTTGGTCCCATGTTTCAAGTTCAGGATAAACCAACCCTCCCTTTGATTTCTCTGCCTATGACCGTGGCCCGCCTCTTAGCTGTCAAATAGTGCCCACTGTTTCCGTACACACAAGTTCTCGATATGTTGCGTTCAGATTATATTTGAATCGGTTACTTGAGTGGCATGGAACAAGTAATGGAATAGATGAGGATGCCGATTGGTGAGATGTTTCGCCATGTGCTGCAGCCAGTGCCGTGATGGAAAGCAACACAAATATAATAATGTTTCGTAAACGACTCTGTCAAACTAAATTTCGATCAAAATTTTAACAAAGATGTTGTTGCAGTTATGTTTCCCGAGTGTTTGCTGTTTTAATCTGAATGTACAACATCACTCGCATCTGTGTGCACTCGCGTTCCAGTCTTTGATTCGTGTCTGATCTGCGTTGACACTGGTGTATTCATTTGGTAAATAACATAATATGTTGATGACACTTAAAAAAAACAACAACTAAACTTTCAGCACGGAACATTGATGTGTTAGATGCACATTTTAAACTTTTTATTTTACCAGGTAAAGCCCACTGAGCCGTACAGATATTTTTCAGAAGCGACTTGGCCACAGATGATGGCTCAACGAAGTGGCCCATCGTCACGTGGGAATTTATAGCAGCCAAACACTCTGAACACGTGATGTCGATTCTAAATGTGGAGGGAAAAACCGTAGGACCCGGAGAAAATTACACGCGACCACGGGGAGAGCACGCAAACTCAAAACATACATGGGGTCGGGATCGAACCCACAACCTCCTGTATAGCAGGAGACGTAGTGAACACCATGCCGCGTAACCAGAATGTATGTAGTTTTAAGAATGTTGGGTCACACTGATTATAGTTTGGGTGAAATCTCACTTGAGTCGACTGCAATCCATTCTGGGCAACTCCGGGTTGTGCTACAGTAGTAGCACCACCTTCATGGTGAAGGAATGAACATGCCACCATGACGAGTTGCAGCACTCCGATGGTCATGGGTTATGATGTCGAATTAAACAAACACTATTATTAAACCGGATTGTCAAGTGTAGCAGGTTAGTCACATCAACCCCGATTCCCTATTGATGACACAGCAATTGTACAAAATGTTGTTAATTCATTTTTAATGCTCTTGAGCTTTGAAACATTTAGGTTTCATTTCTAAAGAACACTCCTGATAGGAAATTCTGCTGTGGATAGAGATAGCTATTAACACTTATATCAGGTCCATATTTTAACGAATTGTCAGATTCGAAGAGGCTTTTTTGGCCTCCATATTCACAATTTCATCTCGGTGCCACACTCGATTTTTTTTCTGTGCATCTAGATTCATATTTTGGTGCGATCGTATCAAATTAACAGGCATTGAATCCCCCTTTCTCGACAAGTGTCTAGGATAATCGTGACATCCAACCGAGACAAGACGGCAATGATGATGATGATGCACCAGCGAGTGATGACTGGATTCAGGTGGAGGGGGGGGAGATAAGTTAAGTTTTGTGACTTGTACACCCAAAACGTTATATTATGGATTAGATTTATCTCCCCAGAATCGTGACAGATGCCGCTACCTCCGCGCAATTTAATTTGCGAACAGTCTTCAATCTTCCACATTGTCGTGGCAACAATAAATAAGCGTCGGGAGTGACGAATCCCACGTTTTAATTACCGAGCATGGAGCATCTGCCGCTAATATCCATCTCGGGGCCCGTCCGCCCTCTGCACGGCGTTCTTTGGGTAAATTGTGTCTTAACATCGCCATCCTCATCATCGTCGTCGTCTACCATGCTCATTCCACTGCTGCATGAATGCATCAATGGGCCGTTGCCGACTCGAACGATCCTGCAATGCACAAACGAAACGACTGAATTGCTCCTTTATTAATCCTGCACATCGGTCATCGTCATTTCGAACGACTCGTTCTCACCTCAATCCAACTTGCTGCTGTTCTGTCTGACAACACCCACCTGGGCTACAAGGGAGATACACGAAGCATGCCAAGGTTTGAACCCATCGGCGGAAGATAACGTCTCATCTGTAGACGGTTTAAAGCCATCACGTTATACAATTACTAATTGCATTTCAGCACGGAACATCGCTGTGTTGGATACAGATTTTAAACGAATTTGTTTTACCAGGCGAGGCCCACTGAGCTATACAGCTCATGTATCAGAAGCGACCTGGCCCCATCACAAATGATAGCTCAACGAAGTGACTTATCATCTTGTAAAAATGTCTAGCAGCCAAATACTCTTAAACGCTTCGTTTTGATTCTAAATGTGGACGGAAACCCCAGAGGACCCGGAGAAAAAAATCCGCACGACCACGGGCAGAACACGCAAACTCCAAACATGCAGCAGGTGTCAGGATTGGGATTAAACCCACGACCTCCTGCATACCAAGCGAGGTCGCGAACATCTTGCCACCTTGACGCATCTCCCAGAAGTCGTCGTTGGTCAATCCACGCCATGGTTGGAAAAAACCCGATTTTTCCAGCGGCAGGCATCGGGTTTTTTCTTTAATACAATTAAACCCGATTTAGAGGAATTAAAACCTGGTTTAATGAATACGAAACTCTGATCCAAGGCTTAGGCTGCTTCCTCGTCGTTGCTGCTATCATACTCGGGGGGCCGTCGGGCACGGGGTAGTCGTAGAATGCGGCGGGCAGGTTGGTCTTGATGAACACGAGCTTCTCCACAATCGTGGGCGCTAGTGAGTTCCTTAGCTTGGAATGGATGAAGCCCATCGTTGAGAAGTTGGCGAAGTGCGGTTCTGCAATTAGAACCAATTAAACCGGATTTCTCCCAATCTCAGATGATCGGGTTTAATATAAAAAGACAAACCCGATTGTAAAAAACCCGACTGTGCCACCCTTGATCCACGCTATGATCCACCAACAGCCCTGTAGAGTGACCTTGTCTGAAGAGCGGAGGGGTTGGGGGGCGGACAAAGAACTAAATTCGGTTGACGACAGAATCATAAACTTTCATCAAATGTTCGACGTGGCGAGGGCAGAGTGAGCAACGTCGTGCACTCTGCTCTGGATCTGTCTGCGTGGATGAGGATGGTAGGCGTCGCAGCCTTTAGTACCGGTGTTAACAATTGCACCAATCTTTTTTTAGATCTATAAAAATTTAGGAGTGGGGGGCTCAGCCTTCAGCGCCATGCAGCCCCCCCCCCCCCCCCACTTCTACGGGCCCGCCAGATTGATATGCGTCCTTGATTTAAAAGCCAGGTTAGAATTAATTTAAATGTGACATCTATATAACTATTAGTACACGTTATTTTTGTGTGCTTTTAACAACCCACATCCTTGCTGAGATAGATTGTATTTTTTTTTATATCAAAGGATTCATGTGATTTAACCAGCTTCTCGAGATCCCAATGTTCGGGTTAATTGCCGGCAGAGAGAATGAGCGAGTGGGGGAGCCGTGGTTCAATGTTCGGACTTCCACTCGGGCGTGAACCCCACGGAGATTCACCCGTCTCAGGCTCACCTAAGCCACGTTGATGTCCCGCGTTCAGCCAAGTGGGGGAGCAGTGGCGCAGCGCTTGAGCGCACGAGTTCGTTCCCCGTCCACAGCAACGTCAGATCAGTCGCGAGCGAAACCCCCAACAAACGCAGCGACCAACGCGGTGGAAGAAAAAAACAAAACCGACCAAGTAATCGCCACGACCGCACGTGGAAGCGCTCGTCCAGCAGCGGATTGACATGTACGGGCCTCTACGAAAACCTTCAGGATGGAGAGTGGACAATTGACCCACGTGGTGGAGGCTGCAGGACCTCGTGTCTCAGCCAGGTGGCAGAGTGACTCCGCGCGTGGAACTCTCCTCCCTCCGTCCCACGACCGAGGTCGTTTTATGGAAATCTCGGATGAATTGTATCAAACCACTTGTTTAAAACGTTGAGCAGTGCCGGATTATCCCGGAGGCAAAAGTAGCTACACATGCTACAGGCCCCGCACTTTCAAGTGCCCTGCGCTAAATGCTCTCAAGCTATAAATTCCGGTTCAGTGATTCTGCACTTGCTCTATTACTATAGTACTATACCGCCTTCAAGTTTTATGAACGACTGGGTGTTTAAGGTTACCGATTTGTCGTATTATGCGGCTGTATAGCAAATGAAAAAAATACAATTACTTTACTACGCAAGTTTAAAATAAATTGTGTTTCAATATTTATGTGTTTTTAAAAAATATTTAGGGTTCCTTTATAACATATGCTACAGGCCACGCAACTAACTTAATCCGGCACTGACGTCGAGCCAAATGTGACTGCACTGCCTGGCGAAGGCCTCACCCACGCTGCGTCGGTCGTGGTCGGCGATTGTCCGTGTCCTCGACACGCTCGTCTGTGTGGATATTTGCTGGTTTATTCCAGGATGTTTCTGTTGCGCGTCGTCGCTTTGGGATGTTCTATGTTCATATTTTGTTTGTTGCGGTTGCATCCGACTCAAGAGCCGCATGGCTCACAGGGCTATACCTAATAAATGAAATTTGAAACTTGATTTGGCGAGCAACTAAGTTCCAGTTCAGAGTTGAGACGTGGCCAAAAGATTCCAACTCAATTGCGGCCGGGTAATTACTGGAGATTCTGTAATTCCGGCGAAATTAACGCAGCTCAAAAAGTTTGAAATAAACCCTAATCGTGTCGTGGCACTAGTTAAACTAGTTATTTAATCACTATGGGGACCTGATTTGCCAGTAAAAATATGATAATTGGTTCTTTACCCTTCTATCTGGCAACAAAACTGACACCTTTTTACAAGGAGTCATGTTTGCATAGACCGCAATACCTGCAGTCATAAATACAAACAAAAGACATAACTCTGATAATGTGCACTGTCCTTGAAGTTGATTGGTCCACACCCGAGACAGCTTTCCTTCGAGCCTAGTCTCACATGGGTTGGACCAGAAGACGCCAAAAGGCGCACAACTCAAAGACAATGCACCATCAGAGTATGAGAGCTAAGCTAAGCTCTCATACTCTGATGGTGCATTGTCTTTGAGTTGTGCGCCTTTTGGCGTCTTCTGGTCCAACCCATGTGAGACTAGGCTCGAAGGAAAGCTGTCTCGGGTGTGGACCAATCAACTTCAAGGACAGTGCACATTATCAGAGTTATGTCTTTTGTTTGTATTTATGTCTGCAGGTATTGCGGTCTATGCAAACATGACTCCTTGTAAAAAGGTGTCAGTTTTGTTGCCAGATAGTTATTTAATATCTGAAGTAACGAGCATACTAGTACCGTACACTGTAGATTACTAGACGAGTCATTTCATTACACCGGTTAGCGGTTACACACATTGATAATGGGGTTGAGTGGCGACCCATTCCACTGCACTACGAACACATCAGTGGCGGTCCAACGAGGCCCCCCGCTCCCAACCAACTGCCACTGACCAACGTGGTGAAGTATTATCCATTAATCCCCCCGTGACCGACACAGCACGAGGATGGCAGTGGCTAGACAAAGCG